CTGACTTTTTTGACGTACCCTTTTGTTTTAGCAGTGGCGGCACCGAACTTGAATACTAGCCTGTCGGCGAGGGTAGAAAGTGGTTGTCCGTAGACGTACACATTTTCATTAAGTTCTTCAACGGTTTTTGATAGCAATGGCAATACAGACTTATATATCTTTATAACAGAAATGTCATGTAATCTTTCATTTCCCAGCGTATCCTCATTTGGCCAAATGCAAAGGCCGATCGATTTATCTTCCCCATGTTGTTGAACTTCTGCTAAATCCCCTTCATTGTAAAGATGACCAGATGCTATTGCAATAATGGAGGAAAATGAGTCGTCCTGATTCATGGCGTTTGCAATTTGTCCAAACATGCCCAAGCTGCCCCGTTTTTCTATTCTTTTATTTATGATTTCACCACCACATCTTATCGCGCATTGGGGAGTGAAGGCCCTTTTCAGCTGTAGAAATTTGACATCACCTTGGAAATGGCTCGTTATTAATCTCCTGCTTTGGTCGTTTAATGGCTGGTGGCGTTCAAAGATGAGCAAGGTTTTACCACATAATCTGTATCCAACTACCCCATGTTTCTTTGCACTAAAACAAATTTGTATTCATGTAGTCGAAACAGATATGTAAAAAACTATAACAGAAATCATATTAAAGTGACATTAGGGTTTTTTGTTCTGACAAAATATGCAATACTATGTAAATATATTAGGAAAAAAAATGTGAAATGTTAACGTAACAAAATTGAAACGAATGATAGATCATAAACTTTGCAAAAAAATATTCAAAAAATGTTTTATAAACATACAATGCAGTTGGACATGAAGATTTAAATTGCAATCATTATATAACAGTGAAGTGAGCACCAGCCTTCAATACGGATGAACGTACTTACTCTTTTATGTTTCTGATACATTCCTTTGTAAGATTTGAGGAGTCAGGTGACTTCCGGGTAAGTAACCTTTCTTGCAATTTTTCAATCTGTCTAAGGAAGCCGCTTAAATGTCTTGTATTTGTCTTCTTCTTTAAGGCACATATGAAATCTGCAAGGTCTTTCTCGAGACCTGCATAACATTTTTCATATATGATGCTCTTTTCACTGTTGGCATCAAGCACATGTGACGCAAAGCTTAAGGACTCTCTTTTGACCAGCTTGATTTTCCGTTCATTGTCGACTTCTGATTCAACGAGGAAGAACAGCATTGATTTCTCGACATCTTTAATCAATGGTTGTAGGGCATCTAACGGAATCTGTAAAATTCCTAATTGTTAATAAAAGACAAAAGACAGAAGAACTTGCAAGAATGTCAAGAGAATAAAAACAGCTTACTTTTTTCTTCCAAAACGATTTTCCTAGATGACAAATAACTACAGCATTTCTTCTTTTGAACTCAACTTTTTCGCCTAAAATTATACAATTGTATGTATATATAACAAAATAATCACAACACCGAAATAAACTCTATCGGTTTCATTCTCAATCTTTAAGTGTTTGATATCATAGTGCGTAGTTACAAATGTATACAAAATCAACAATCATATTGTGACGTCAAAAATTGCTTATACTCTAAAATGTATATTTCTGAATACACTTTTTATTCTCTGAAAATTTAACATACATATTTGGACGTCTGTTGTTTTTGGAGAAAATCTGAATAATTTCAAACACAGGTCCCTAACGTTTTCGCTATCTTCAGTGATAAGGAATATTCCTTCAATCGGTTCCTGGATTTCTTTCACTGTTTCATATGTTTCTTTCCAAACATAGTATAATTCCTCGGAAATTAGTTTGAAAAGGTTAAGCTCAGATGGGCCGAATTCAAAAGTGACATGGAAAAGCTGCATTTTGTATGAATGTGCATTTGTTGAACTAGGGCTACAAAATACCAAATTATACGTAATTATTTTAAAGAAACAAATGGTTATTTTTAAATCTAGAATTATTTTAAGCAGTTCAATTTAGATAAAAATAATACACCATCTTAAATTTTATCAAAAATACAATTTATATGTAGAATGAAGTCACGATAATCATAACTCTTCATTTTCGGGACGAACTATGTGGGGAACATTTATATTTATGTAATGTATATAAACAAATGTTTCGTTTTATTAATCATACATTTAAAATGTCCCAGCACACATGCGTTCGGATAAATTTGGTCCAACTATATTTATTTTTGTGAATTATTAAGAAATTTTCAATAAATCGACTAAATTATATCCTTATGAAAAAGGAATACCTTTTGAATCGAGTTCGTTTTCGTGGAACTGGAGAAATCAGTGAAGTAGCTACAATGCAATTTAATTTTTATGGCTTGAATGAAACAAACATTCGACTTAATATCAATTCTTTGGTTTTTTCAGTAGTGACATAGAAAACTAACAAACCTCAATGAGATTTTATTCATATATATACATATATACATATATCAGTTTAATTACTATTAATCGTTTATTTACATGTTTCAGCTCGACGACGTGTAACAACCCCTGCCATGATGTATTACCTTAAAAAAAAAAGTCAGATTAATTGACCATGAAGTACAATTTTTCGACCATTTCTAAATATACATTGGATTGCTCTTTAAATTTTGGTTGGATATGATTTTTTTTTCAACGAGTTGTGTTTTTCCCCAAAGCCTTGGAGAGGGGATTTAAAAAACTCAAAGACATGGATAAAAATCATATCAATCGTATATATTAAATCACAAATCATGAAAGATTCTTGTAATCCCATGTTTTATGCATCACTATCAATGTTTTACCTTTTTAATATAGGAATCAACGTTATTTTACTTCATCACTCTCACGCAAAACACATTGTAATATCACAAAAGTGGGATTGCAAAAAAACAATAATAAAAATAGATAAATAAATAAATAAAAATCTAATGACGAATATCCATGGGATTAAGGAGGAACAATATAGGTCGATTCTTAAATATATGGTTAATTGCTACTGAGTTATTAAGAACAAAAAATATCAGGATCATTCAAAGTATGAAAAACATTTTTCTTAATTCCACTTCAAAGATATGTTTTTAATAATTGAACAACTAATGATTCGCAGTTCAATTTTCATATACAGTAAATAAAACATCTTTTGAAGAGATATGACACTCTTTCTCTCAAGGAGATTTGGGAAAACCGGAAGATGGTGCCTGTACAATTTACTTCGTTCAATAAATACATTGCATTGCAGTAAGAAACGTATCGATACATTATCAGACATACATGTATACATTAGGAATCAGATGATTAAAAAGTCATGGTTCTCCTTCTTTTTTTCTGCCTATCTGTCTCCGTCTGTATTTCTCTCCATCTATTTACCTAATAGCCTACTTATCGCTACATCGCATTTTTCCTCTCTTAGCGAACCTCAATTTTTCTAGATCTGTCTGCCCTGTTTGCTACTCTCTGTTTGTTTTTCCTTTTTGTACATACCCCTACCGTTCTCTATCTGTTTGTCTGTTTGCCTGTATGTCTGTCGTTCGATCTCTTTGTCAGTATGTCTCTGTGTGTGTGTTTGTCTCTATCTCTCAGTCTGTTTCCTATCTCTATTTCTCTTATTCTCTGTATGTCTATCTATCTGTATCTCTTTCTCTCTCTTCCTCTGTCTGTCTGTTTGTCATTCTCAATATGTATTAGTGTCGATTTTCTTCCATCTCTTCATTTCGTATTTGTCATTATCAAGAATATTCTTTTGGTTTTAAACACATGTTGAAATTTTACAACTTTTTAAAGTGAACTCTGATTTGCTTCCTATATTTATTGATGCATGTATATTACAAGATAAATGGTTGTTTGAGGGAAATCTTTATATTCCAAATGTTCAAAAGATGAAAGTTATTATTGATTTTAATACATTTCTTAATTCAATCATATCAATACAAAATGTAAAATTTTGTTCAGCAAGGAAACTTTATCATGTTAAATTGTGAAACACAGCAAAATTTTATATGAAAACAACACTATTTTACCAGTAGATCGTTATTTAAAGAAGTAAAAAATCTTATCATACATGAAGTTATATTGTTATACTCCGAGATACAATATTCACATGTATTCTATTAAACAAAAGCTCAGCTTTAAAAAAGAATCTATAAATTCAAAATGTAAATTTCTTATTAATCTGCTTTAAACTTTACGCCCACAAATAAATTTTATAAAAAAAATCATGAGTTCCTAGATACATGTATGCATGTATACAGTGTATATGGATGGATGTAACATTCCATGACAATTTTTTTTTTGATTTAAGAATATACCGATCATGACAAAGAACAAACCGCGGGTGTGTCTAGTTGGCAGGGGATGCTCATTCCTCCATGGCACGTGATCCCACCTCCGATGTTTTGGAGGTCCATGTTCGCTCTTCTCCTATTTTGTAATGTTTCATGGACTTTTGATCTTAAATACTGTTCCTTATCTCCATATGTTTCATGCAATACTTACTACTAACACTGTGTTAACATCCAATATATTCCAATGTCAGAGGGAAAATTTACTCTTTGAACTGTACTGGTATGTATTGAGAGTACAAGATAAATGAAATGACAACAATCGAACATGCAAGAATTTGCAAAAACTGTTCTTGGAATCGGTTCAGCTTTTTAGTCTTTCGTCCTCCTAGTGTTTTGCTGCATATTCTTGTTGTTTAAAAAAAAAATATGAAATGTTATTTTTTTTTATACTAGAATGCATTCGGAAGTGCAGTCACATGTCTCAAGAGTACGACGAAAGTTGACTGGTATAAAAAAGTATATATAGGAAAATAAAATTATTTATAACTAAAGCTGTAATTTTCCTTGTGAATGTTATAACACGCAAACAATGAGTCAAACATAAAACTTCCTCAAAATGTTTTTTTTTTTATTTTCTGGGAATGTTCATGTCCGTGAAGAAGCCTTCATGAAAATGATTGACAAATAAAAATATGTGTAAATGCAAATGTAAGAGGTCTTAAACGCATATAGGGGGGGGGGGGGCAATCTATTTAAATAGAGAATATGATAAATGTGGATTGATTGTAGATTTTCAAAATAAAAAAATAATGCCGTCACAATCACATTCGTTTACAAACATCGTGGAGTTTCCCAAAAGTGTAAGAGATACGGAGTTTGAAGATACATATTTGTCACGCATACAGTAAGTTTCATGAAAATATGACATTCAGTCGTAGGCTATGTCGTTGCTTTAAACTCTTAAATAAGCATCTTTTTTCTATGTGTGCCACTGCACTTTTACCGGATGATCGTATTCAACAGATGCACTGATATAAAAAAAAATAAGGCTGATGTTTGGTAATAGAGTCAATAATTTGCAATTTAAGAAAACTATGAAATGTTAAGGATAGTACAAAAAACTATAACCTATAACATGGTATTTTTATGCAGTAAAATTGACCTTCCCTAATTGTAAGATAATATAAACTGGAATCTACAATGACTGACATGATTTGCAATAGATAGAATTATCCTCATACCACATAAAGTTTAACTAATTATGCATTATTAACATGTCTTTTTGTAATAATCAACAGTGATTTCAGTAATTTACATCATTGTCTTGTCAATTTCCTTTTATGCTAGGAGAAATGAGACTTGGGGATAAAATTTTGTTTTACTATCCGAAACATGTAAATTTAACCTCATTACAATGGTTTAATAAGGAATTGGATGCATTCATCTTATCCATGTATTATCAAAGAATGCACAGGCTCTCAACTGGATAACAATTCTGCCGAGAAATGAAACAGGTACATATTATGTGGATAAAAATGACGTCACTGCCTTGATTTGCCTAGGTACACAGGTGATCCGTTTATTCAAAGTTTACAAAAACACTACATCAAAACATGGAATTTCCGTCATTTTTTAAAGTCTTATTTTTTATCAGACAAAATACAATCTTCTGGTGTCGAAATGTTTGTTGCAATAATGTAATTATGTATTTTAAAGACAGGGAAAAAGAATGTTAATAAACTTTTGTTTCTAATATTTGCAATGGAATAACTATTCATAAGCTTTATATGGAGCAATTTAACATTTTTGTCGGCCTGTGCAATGTTGATTTCTTCAATAATCCTATATAGTAGTAGTGTTTATTTATTAAACTGACACGTGTTAAGTTAAAAAAATGAACAATCATTTATATAAATTCAGCAATAATATAGAAGCATCAAGCCCTATGGACCTATATGTCACCTAGCGTAAATTGTCAGTATCTGATTATATTCTCCACGTGATTTTTAAATTTACTATATGTATCTACAAGGACTGTTAAGCATTATATCATCACAGCAAATAATTCAATATGGATCACTGAGTCTTGTGCGATGTAAATATGTCCTGTTGTCCATCCACCAATATCCAAATGCATCTATTGAGCAGTACTAGCTTAGGCGTGATCTAGAACTTCTGGAGTTTGATCTATAGTTTGACCTGGTTTTGGTTTACTACAACCGTTCGCATCGACACGAAACAATTTGCCCTGCGGAATGTTCCTCAGAATTGTCCGTACATTCATTTCAATGAGACGTTCTTCACGGGATTAGCTACTTTTATTAAACACTGTTTTGTACTCGTCCGTGTCTTTCAGTTTCATTTTGTTTCGTAAAACCAGCATTTTCTCATCTTTATTCCTGAAGCAGAATTTAATGAGACCAGGCCGACTATTTAATCTGCTTCAGATCCACATTGCCGCTATCACTTGTACGTTTGAGGAGACCTCCTCTCCCAACGAATGAATGAGATCCTTTGCTTTGAGGAAGGGGTCCTCGCATTCTGAAAGAGGAATGCCGCTGGCCGTAACTGTAATATCGGTACGGTCTAATGATTCTATTCGCCTGAGCACACATTTGTACCGCTATCGTTTACTGCTGTTTACTACATTGATCGACACCCTCTAGTCGAGTTTGTAATGACTGAGTAGTTCTCAGGAGCTGGTCTACACGCTGCGTCTCTTAATCCATGTCTACCGATAGCTCATCCCAAAGTGATCGTATTTTTTCATCAATGTTTTTTATTAAATCAATTCTTAATATATCAAACTGAGATTCAAACAGACATTTTATGACATCTTGGTTAGATTTAAGATCTTGAATATCATTTATAACAATATCAAGCTTACCAGATATTGCAAAGTCAATTTTTGTAGCTTTTTCTTTCTAGATTCCTTTGATTGATTGATTGTTTATTGTTTAACGTCCCTCCCGAAAATTTTTCACTCATATGGAGACGTCACCGTATGCTGGTGAGGACCTTCAAATTTTGACCTTTACTCGGCACTCAGGGCCATTGAGCAATGAGGGATCTTAATCGTGCCAACGCCTGCCGCTGACACGGGGCCTCGGTTTTTAAGGTCTCATCTGAAGGACCTGTAACTTCCACTTCAAAGTGCTGAGCGCATGGCGAAGGAAGAGTTGCTACCCATTTTTATCGACTTTGGTCAGTCGCGGCCGAGATTCGAACTCATGACCTCCCGATCACGGAGCGAGCGCTCTACTGACTGAGCTACCGTGAACGGTAGTTTCCTTTGAAAATGAATCGCCAGAAACACCATTATCAAGATTCTCACTTGATTCAAATAGAATTGCATTAACCTGACTTAATATTTCACTCACGTTTACATCGGGAGAGTTTGTATCAACCTCCAGTTTGCTTAGTTTCGTCACTTGTTCAAAATCGCCCCCGCTTCTACTGTCATGGCTATTTCTATTTTTTGTATTTTTATGATGAATTTTTGGCATACCCCACACATCAAAACATATATCATCAACATTAACTCACACTTTTGATCTGTAATAAGTTGGAATTACTGGTTTTGAAAGCCAATTCCAATTCACGTAATCGAGATTAAAAAAAAAAACACGTCTATTTTGCTTATATCACGTGACCTGTGTATACTAGTATTTGATTTTATAAAAATCATTCTTCTGAAACAATTATAATTAGTACCTTATTTTAGTCAAATTTACCATAAATGTTGAAGTTCAATAAAAAATTATCAAAATAGCACATTTTAAGGCTAAATAAAATGATAAAAAACCAAAATAAATGAATAAACATTTTCTATCAATATCTTAAAAAAAAGGTTACACAATAGGATAATATTAGTTACACAGTCAGTTAGTGACCTAATACGGATTCATACAGGGTGTGAAATGGAAATCCGTATTGGGCGAGGCGAATCCGAGTCCCAATACGGATTTCCATTTCACACCCTGTATGAATCCGTGTTAGGTCACTAACTGACTGTGTAACGAATTTATCCCGCTGAAGACCTTTTTCAATATAAAAACAATGTTTGTGCATATTATAAAAATATTAAGTTTTAATCCAATAACAATCAACATAAAATATCGTTACGTTAACGAGAAATTTAACTAAACTACCTACGTAAACCGTTTCTTAGCCGCCATTTTTATTTACAATAACAACGCTGCGAACGGAATCGCGTGCCCGATTTTCATATTACTCCTCGACGGAGACGTAATACGGAAAATTTCAGGGCGTCATGTGATCAGCCTTTATCCAATCAGCAATCTACAAATTTGTCTGAAGCGGGATAATTATATTTATTGATAAAGACGTTCTAGCAACAAATAATTAGCAAGATTTGAATGGGAAAAATACTTCCATTTATAGTTGAATCATACAAAAAAGTGTGTTTTATGAAAAAGAGGTAAATAATAGATAAATAAATATGAACACTTGAGGAGAACCCACCTTTTATTTGGGTAATGTAGATAATAGATGGACGAGTAAAAATGAGACATAGATACATGTTCCTTATTTAATGAACACTCAAAGCTCTTCAACGAAAAATGCAATTCGCATTGTAATTTACTCATGCAATAATGTTGCAATTGTTTTGGTGGTTTGTATGAAATACTGTATAAGTACTTTTTTCCGCGTGGGATTAATTTACTCTATGTACGCAGTCACAAGTTTTCCGCGTTAATTTATCCAAGCGCACTTAATATAAATGTAAGGCATATATTGAGAGTCTAGGACATCCGCGTAATTTTTTTTACATGCGGATTCATCAGAAATTGAGATTCCACGGAATTATGACCCCATGGAAAGAAGTACACCTGCAGTAATTTAAAATGGTTGTGTATAAATTCTGACAAGAAGAAGAAAGTATATATATTTAAAAAATACTTGATATGATCTCTTAATGTATAATTGATAATTTAATTGAGTTGTTAATTTAATTGAGTCCTGGTCATCGTAATTCTATTGCTTTTTAGCAATACAGCTTGACCTATAAATTTCTATTTTACTTAATTCTTTGATGGATCCTCCACCGTAGATAAGTATACTCTGGTGACAGTTTAGGCCCTTTGACCTCCTGACTTCATTGAATTTTATTCTTCAAAACAATAAAACCATATTTCTAAACAGCCAGAAACATTCCTTGTATCTATAAACTTAAGTTTGAAAATCAAAACTTTTATTATTTTTAACAAACATTTTTTTTTCGTGAGAGTAGAGCTCTTGAACAAAACCAAATTACGCCTTATTACAAAAAGTGAAGTTCTCATTGTCCAAAAATAACACTGCAATGATCATCAATAATACACTTCATTCTAGTACCTTTAAGTTTTGTTTTTTTACTTTTTTCTATTGTATCACGGAT